CAGTCTCCGTAGAGACTGTCAAAAATTGCCAATGCCGACTATATTTCAAGTCGTCATGGCGGGGTATTGGGAAAAGTTTTCAATTAGCAATAATCGCGCCTCGGATAAACCTCATTGGCTACGATACTGCCACTGCGCAAAGCTGAACGTTTACGGGCCGCACACGCTCCCCCACGGATGATGACTCTTATTTCATTGAGGGTGAGTGCCTGCCAGCGCGTCAGTGGATACGACGTGTTCCCACTCCACCGGCTGTATTTAATGCCCATCTACGTGGGAGGCTTCTTGTTGTTGGAACATCTCGTGTCGAACATTCAGATTTGGGAAACTGTAAGAACATTCGCTTGGGACGCTGGGGAATCTTATGCAAATCAGCGTGACGTCACAGAGATGACAGGGTTGAGACTTGAATTTTGAGCGAGGAGAGTAGGCGGTGAGAAAAGTGAGCCGGAGGGCACAAAGTAACGCTGTGTTCGAGGGTGCAGAAACAGCAGGCAGGGAGAGCTGGGAAAAATTTATAAACGTCTCTGTGACAAAATCAGAATGGAGAACACAGCGGGAGAGCAAGGAAATAGAACAGCCCGGCTGACAAGAAACTTCACAATATCGTCCTATTTACCTTAAGTAGAGATCACGGAAACAGCAACCAGAACCTACTCAAAACCATGCTTACTCGGTGAGGAACCGCAACTAAAAGAATTAGTGATAGTCTATTCTTCCAGTACGAGAAAAATATCAGTCTCCGTAGAGACTGTCAAAAATTGCCAGTGCCGACTATATTGCAAGTCGTCACGGCGGGGTATTGGGAAAAGTTTTCAATTAGCAATAATCGCGCCTCGGATAAACCTCATTGGCTACGATACTGCCACTGCGCAAAGCTAAAGAATTTTGGCCGCTGCCCATCATTCCCAATAAGCCCGCTTCCTATTTCACAAAGCTGAGTTTAGGGCCCATGGAAAAATTTTCAATTATTGTTTCTTTGAAAATTATGCCATCATAGGAATATGTTTTTAAACTACGTAGGTAGTTTCTACATATTTTTGCTGATTTCACTTAACTAGGTTTTGGTGGATATGAAGCAAAGCATTATGGGAGGAACATGCTAATAGACTTAATTCAGAGATTGCACGGGACTGTTGAGAGAAAAGGGATTTAAGTCAGGGTTCTGTTCACTTGGCTCCAGATTCAGTGTAACTGACTTCTCCAAAGACAATTATTGTTTTGTCTTTTTTTTTTAACTTGTGGCAAAGTAAACATACAATGTATCATTTTAACCTTTAAGTGTAAATTCACCGGCATAGAATATATATTCTCATTGTGCAACCATCACCACCACTGATCTCCACAACTTTATCTTCCATGCCCACGGGTGGAAATTGGGACTGTACCCATTAAACTCTTACCCCCTCTTCCCTTCTCCTCCCAGCCCGTGGCAACCTCTTTTCGACTTTGTATCTCTATGAGTCTGTGGGCACTTTATATATATATATAAATGGAATCATACAATATTTGACCTTTGGGGTCACTCTTATTTCATTTAGAATAATGTTTTTAAGGTTCATCCATGTTGTAGCATGTCAGGATTTCATTACTTTTATGGCTGAATAATATTTCATTGTATGAGATTTTATGTTTTTTTTTTTTTTTTGAGATGGAGTTTTTGTTCTTGTTGCCTAGGCTGGAGTGCACTGGCGTGATTTCGGCTCACTGCAGCCTCTGTCTCTCGGATTCAAGCGATTTGCCTGCCTCAGTCTCCCAAGTAGCTGGGATTACCTGCCTAATTTCTTTGTATTTTTAGTAGACAGGATTTCATAAGGTTGGCCAGCATGGCCTCAAACTCCTGACCTCAGGTGATCTGCCCAGGTCGGCCTCCCAAAGTGCTGGGATTACAAGTGTGAGCCACCGTAACTGGCCTATTCATTCTTTTTTTTTTTTTTTTTTTGATATGAAGTTTCACTCCTGTTGCCTAGGCAATGCTGCTATTGGTATGCACAGGCGTCAGTTTAAGTTCCTGTTTGCTATTCCTTGGGGCATATACCTAGAAGTAAAATTGCTGGATCATATGTTAATTCAGAAGGTTTTCTTGGCTGGGCACGGTGGCCCATGCCTGTAATGCCAGCACTTTGGGAGGCTGAGACAGGCAGATCACCCCGTCTCTACTAAAATACAAAAAATTAGCTGGGCGTGGTGGCGTGCGCCTGTAGTCCCAGCTACGGGGGAGGCCGAGGCCGGGGAATCACTTGAACCCATGAAGCGGAGATTGCAGTGAGCTGAGGCGAGATTGCACCACCGCACTGTAGCCTGGCGACAGAGCGACACTCCATTTCTACAAAAAAAAAAAAAAAAAAAAAAAAAGGAATTAAAGTGGCTGGGCACAGTGGACCACGCCTGTAATCCCAGCACTTTGGGAGGCTGAGGCAGGTGTATCACCTGAGATCAGGAGTTCAAAACCGGCCTGGCTAATATGATGAAACCCTATCTCTACTAAAAGTATAAAAATTAGCTGGGTGTGGTGGCAGGTGCCTATAATCCTAGCTACTCCAGAGGCTGAGGCAGGAGAATAGCTTCATTCAAGGAGGGGGAGGCTTCAGTGAGCCAAGATGGAGCCACTGCACTCCAGCCTGGCAACAGAGCGAGACTGTCTCAAATTTAAAAAGAAAAAAAGGGCCGGGCGCGGTGGCTCAAGCCTGTAATCCCAGCACTGTGGGAGGCCGAGGCGGGTGGATCATGAGGTCAAGAGATCGAGACCATCCTGGTCAACATGGTGAAACCCCGTCTCTACTAAAAATACAAAACATTAGCTGGGCATGGTGGTGCGTGCCTGTAATCCCAGTGACTCAGGAGGCTGGGGCAGGAGAATTGCCTGAACCCGGGAGGCGGAGGTTGCGGTGAGCCGAGATCGCGCCATTGCACTCCAGCCTGGGTAACAAGAGCGAAACTCCATCTCAAAAATAAATAAATAAATAAATAAATAAATAAAAAGAAAAAAAGAATTAAAGTTAGTTTTACTTACAAGTCTTACTGAGGATTATAGACCAAGGACTATTGAATGGGAAGTTCCATCAGACTGGTCCAACACAGAATTTCAGCCTACTTACATACAAGTGGTGAGTGTTCAGTACCTGCGAAATCACATTAAACTTGCTTGAAAGTTACATTAAAGCACAATCACATCAAGGTTTGGGTGCAAGAGTATATCTGGTTATAGATTATAGAGATATCATTGCTAACCCCATCAGACATTATCTTGTGCAGGAAAAGGAAAGGAAAGGACTGGGGTCATTTATCTTTCAATGAATATAGCAACTTAGGGAAGAGACATGGAGGACTGTGTGCTCTATCTTGTCTTGTCTTCAAAGCACCTTTCTGGAGAGCTGCATGTTGTCACAGAGTCAGGGGATTTGTGAAAGGATGCTGGCAAGTCGATAAGGAGGCCAGGCGTGGTGGCACACACCTCCCAGCACTTTGGGAGGCCAAGGCGACAGCTTTCCTTGAGTTCAGGAGTTTGAGGGCTACCTCGACCTCCTGAGCAAAAATTGCCTCCCACCTGAACTTCCTGAATAGCTGGGACTAGAGGCACACAACACCACACCCAGCTAATTTTATTTTTTTGTAGTGATCGGGTCTCACTATTTTGCCCAGGCTGCTCTTGAACATTTTGGGCTCAAGTGATCCTCCTGTCTTGGCCTTCCAAAGTGTTGGGATTACAGGTGGGAGCCACTCCTCTTAAAATGGGGGAAGGGAATCCTTAGGTGGTCTTCAAGGCCCCTGCTAGCTGCCATCTTTATGTCCAAAAACACTCACAAATTTACTGACATCTTATTTAGGTTATGCTGTAGAGCAGCGGTTCTGTTGTCTACACATTAGGGACAATTAGGAAATTTGTAGATCAGAATCACTGGGAGTGAGATGCAGGCATTGTGCTGATTAACTTAATAAAAAACCAAGATGATAAATAAAATTGGAGAATCCGCGGGGCGCGGTGGCTTACGCCTGTAATCTCAGCACTTTGGGAGGCCAAAGCGGGTGGATCACCTGAGGTTAGGAGTTCAAGACTAGCCTGGCCAAGATGGTGAAACCCCGTCTTAAAAAAAAAAAAAAAATTGGAGAATCCAAGCAAGTTAAGTACATTAGTCCATGTATAATATATTTGGCTTCATATTAACTACAAAAACATTACTTTTTCAGATATTTATGAACATATTTCTTTACAAGTTTAAGGTATTCTGCCAAAAGCAGAGAACCTGATTCTGTCGTTGTGAATGAAAAGGATCATGAACACTGACATTTAGAATGAGTCAAATCTAGGCCGGGCACAGTGGCTCAGGCTTGTTATCCCAGCTGTTTGGGAGGCGGAGGCCAGCGGATCACTTGAGTGACCAGGACTTTGAGACCAGCATGGCTAACATGGTGAAACTCTCTCTACTAAAAACACAAAAACTTAAAAAAAAAAAAAAAAAAAAAAAGTCAAATCTAGATCCATGATTAATGATGTGCTTATTTCTCATTGCATGTCTGTACCAAAACGTCTCATGTGGGTAAAGCATATATAGGCACAGAGAAAAGAAAAAAAGACAAAAAATAAGAAAAAAGATGGCCTGGCACGGTGGCTTACGCCTGTAATCCTAGCACTTTG